GAAATGGATTTCATGATTATGACATGATTGTGAAATACTATGATGCTTGAAAAAATTGCTTTTATATGCTCATCTTCATCATAAAAGAAGTTTGGAATGCTGTCAAACAAATGTATTGAAAAGTGAAGGATGTTGTCCTCATTGACGAGATCAAAAGTAATATTTTTAATACAATGAAAGGCTATTGGCTTAACTTGATTATTATCTAGATTTTAAGATGACATATTGTAACAATGCGGTAATTCTCAAACAATTTGTATAAAGAGACATCATATTTGAGCTTTTTGTGGGATTCTATAATGGCTTCAACTAAGTTCACGTCTAAATCTTAATTAGAGAAAACCTATCATCAATAAATGAAAATTTTCTCTCATATAATAAAAAGAAAGAAGGTTAATAATGCTCAACACTTTACTCTGTGAAAAGATCTATCATGACAACCACTAAATCTCAACAAACTTGTTGTTGTGGACTCTTTTCCTAAAGGATAAAAGCATTCTTCCAAAGATAATCTACAGGGCAATTCTACATGAATAAATGATACATAAAAAAAAAATACTGAAAGCTCCACAAAAAGCCTCTAGGCTATGGTGGAAATAAGGCATATCACTAAAACAACAGATCTATCTTTTGGAATCAAAAGTGCTCAATCTAGAAGAAATTGACTAATTCAGGATCTTTTTCAACTCTCAAGAAAAATTATTTGGATCATGCTCTCTAACTCAAAATGATATGATTTCTAACTCTTATATTTTCAATGTCTTAAATAATTCTTGTTACATTTGAATCCTAGATTCAAGAGCCACTGACTACTAATCAACTTTGCCAATTTTTTTCAAATCTATAAATTCTGTCTTAGCTGTGGAAAAATAAAATTGATCGATAGTCCTCTAATGATTATTATGGGCCAAAGAAATATTTCAATTTTTTCCATAATTATACTTTGTAATGTATTGCATGTTCCTTAGTTTATAGTAAATTTTCTATCAATTAATAAAATATCTAAAATATATAACTATAAGGTTGCATTTTTTGCTAATCAATATGTATTTAAGGACCTCGTTATGGGAAAGATGATTGAGCAAGTCAAAGAGAAATATGTACTAGTTCTTGAAGATGAAAATCCCTGATCATATTCTTTCATTTTCACTCTCAATATAGAAGCCACTAAGGAACATCATTATAGGCTAGGGAATTCCTCTTTCAAAAATTTAATTTTGTATATTTCTTTTTCTTTTTTTGAACGTAAACATGAAAATTTTTTATTATGAGGCTTGTGAAATTGCCAATATTATTATGATATTTTCCCTAAAAGTGCTTTTAGATCGTCAACTCCTTTTCCAATTCTTTATGTTGACATTTGAGGATCTTCTATAATTACCAACATTTATGGAGCAACAAAATTTGTCACATTTATTAATTATTTAACTCATATGACATGTATATCTCTTATCAAATAAAAATTAGTTATCAACATTATTCTCCTCATCTTTACTATCATGATACAAAAATAATTACATACTAATATCAAGATATTTTAGACTAATAATGCTCTTGATTACTTTCTTAACACATTATCTTCTTTCTTCCAGAGAGAAGGTACCATACACCAATTCTCTCCTGACACCCCCAACAAATTAAAGTGTTAGAAAGAAAAGACTGTCATCATATGGAAGTCACCATGACTCTTCTTTTTCATAATCAAATGCCAAAAAAGATAATGTGGAGAAGTTGTGGAGAAGTTGTCCTTACTAGCACGTACCTAATTAATAGAATACCTTCAAGAGTGATTGGCTTTGAAAGTCCTAGAAATTATTTGGTTGATTTCTTTCCCATAAATAGCTTCCTATAAAAAATTACTCCAAAAATCTTTAAATGCATTGTTTATATCCACGCTCACAAACAACATAAAGGTAAACCTCATCTTAGAGATTTTAAATACATCTTTATTGGGTATTTCTTCACTCAAAAATGGTATAAGTATTATCATCCCATTATCAAAAAATTACTTCAGAAGATGCCACCTTTGATGAGAAGAAAAGTTTTTACAATCGAACTCATCTTGAGGGGAAGAACTTTTAGCTAGAAGATGGATTTGATGAAATATCTTTCATCTTGATATCCTTACAACATGAACTCCAAAACATCTAGTTATATATCTTTTCAAGTTTATACATGAAGGAATATGCTTAGCTAAAGTCTCCAGCAAGCTCAAGACTCAGTCATAACTATTTTAAGGTAAAAATGATCAATCTATCACTACACATTTTATTCTCTGTCTCATCTTTTATAAACGTGTTATCACAAGTAGTCTTGAGCTCAAAAAATTGTGCCAATGCTTTTGCATCGATTTTGATTCTTATGAAGATATCTTGAGGAGTGGCAAAAATGTGCCAGCACCAGTGAATGCATTCATTGAGATATATTTGGAGGTTGTGCGAAAGAGAACATAAGGAGTTGCAAGTTTGTAAAGCCCACTCCTATGCAGTGACATTCCATCACAATTTCTCTTATTAGGCGCTATATCTTGGCTAGCAGTTAGACAAATATAGGAAGGACAATCATTTTCTATTTAATCAATGATGTTTTAGAAGCCGTGGAAGGTGGTGAGGTCGTCATTGGTGTCGGTGTCAATGGATTTATTCCTTGCTGCAAATTGACGAGATCCCTTGAAATCTTGGACCCCACCTCCCATTGGCTTCATATTCAGCTTCACTGCCCTTCTCCTGCAATCCAAAATCATGCTGCTATCATCCCCAACCTCGCCGCACCTCTGTCATTGTTACCATTGTTGTCGACCCCAACTCTATTGAACCTTTATAGATAATGGAGAGATTTTAAAATGTACAGTAACAAATGAAAAGATTGTTTCATTGTATTTAATTTGCATCCAACCAAGCATCATCATAAAATCAAAATGCATTACGTTCCTTTTACAACATTTATAAGATGGTTGCATTAAAAAAAGTTATTTTTACTTCCATTTGGAAAAGCTCATGGTTTTGATAAACTCCTTAGATAATATAGTTGCTCCAATAGATTGAATACATGTAATTGGAGATAATGTTTCATTAGAATCCACCCCATGCTTGTAAGTAAAATCCATTTCTTCCAATCTAGAGTTGAACCTCTCAATATTTCTTTTAGAAATTTTATTTATAGTAAATATCCTTTACCTCTTAACACGTCAAATTGATTCAGGTGCATCAACTAGTCTCCATACTTTATTCTTATACATTTAGTCTATTTCATCTTGCATAAGCTAATTTTCACTGCTTGACATCTACCTCAATCATAGCTTCCTCATTAGTCTTTAGATCTGAAAAATGTTCATTCAGCATATTCAACAAAAACTTCACTAGCAAATGCATAAAACTTAGATAAAGAAATAATTGAATTAGATTTTCTTATCGACATTTTCTTAAATGTTTTAGAGGGGCCTTATGTTTTTGTAAAGGCCCATCAAACATTAAAACATGATTAAAAGAAATCCCTTATAAAATCAGTTCATTTAGATTAAGACTTCTCTTCAACAAATATATGAAGAAAGCACACTTCAGAAAACTTTTCATGTTTATTTACCTAAAGTCATATCTAAGATATTTCTTCCCAAAATTGAAGTCGGACTAGACAAGACCTGACACAAAAATAACACAAACAAGGCAACTTTTAAAATTTTCTCTGGTTTAGTAAAATTTGTTTGATTCATATATCTTGGTTTGGTTTAGTATTCTTAGTTAAAACTCAATTTCAATTCTCAATGGGCTCAATCTTTTTTCATTCTCGATCACATCTTATTTTTAATGTTATGATTCCAAGGAACCCTAATTCATGTATTGCCTCTACTTGTATGCTGTCTTCTAACTCGTTGAGCCCTTTACATCGTGCTGCTCCTCTAAAGATCTTACCTTCCATGATACTAGTACTTTAATATATATTATTTATTAGTGTATTGGTTTTTGTGCTTTGAAATATTGTATCCGTGTCTATGTGCTGCAAATGGTACTTTTGAGGGCTTGGCTGTTCTAAGATTGTATTCTTTGGACACTTTTTGAAGGTCCAGTTTACCAAATTGCCTTTTTTCAACTGGAAAAGAAAAAAAAAGGAATTTTACTTGCACAATGTTGTTGTTATTCATATGTTCTTGGCCATGTGCAAATCTACGAATTATTATTAGCAGTGGGACCATTATAATAAAATCGAGGTTTTTGTATGTTAAACATCATTCTAAATTACTTTGGTTGCAAACCCATGAAACATAGGTCGTCAGTTGAAAATGTCTGTGAGAGTATCTCTTAGATTATGGTAATAATGTGTTCGCAATTTCTCTATCTATATTATTGCTTTTTGTTCAACTTTTATTTTTTGCAAATGTTTTGATTCCAAGAGATAAAATGAAGAGGGGTTGAGGCCTGAGCGGAAGGCTTAGTCACCCAATTGAACAACTTAGTGGGCGGGTTAGAGCTAGTGGGGCATGCGCCTCTCCCATGTTCCTGGCACAGTGTTGCATTTATTTCAGTAGGAATGAATGGATGAAAAAAGAGGTTTCTAAGGCCAAATAGTTTGGATAAGAAATGGTTATAAATTTATAATGATCGAAAATGACCATTCTTCTTTTCTCTTCATGTTTTTCTATTTAAAAATGCATGAATTTCAAGTGGATTTTTTATGTATTAACGCACAAACTTTTAATTAGCTTGAATTTATGCCTTTTAATATCATAAAAAAAACTCATTGTGATTAGTTCTTTTTTCTTATTTCTAATTCTTTATAAGTTTTTGGTGTGGGGATCTATGGACGTGCTTCTTTTGTTGCTCTTGTTAAAGTTAAATAACTGCATACTTTCTATTTAGAACACTAGTTACAAGTAGTTCATGATAAGTCTATATTTTAAGCATGCAATTTTCTTTGAATCTATTCATCGCTTGTGCTCTGTCCTTTTGGTTGAAGTGCAATCCTGCGTTTTGGCTTGGTTTGCTGCAATAATTGTTTGTATTCAGGATTTTACTGCTGTTATTATTCTCTCATATTTGGGAGCCTTCCAGGATGATAAGAAATTTATGTTTCCAAAAGACCTTAGTTCAATGAGGATTGAATCTGGAACATGCACTGTATGCTCGGCTCCTTGTTCCTCATGCATGCACCATAACAGAGAGAGTGGCGTTTCTTGTAACCTCTCTGTTAGGACAGATGCTGACAGTTCTTCTGTTAGTAACGTGGATGTGATACCAATTTACAAGAGCAGAACCTGTGATGATTTGCAGCCGGCAGCTAGTGAAGCTAGTAACTTATTAAGTTCTACTTCAAGTCACGATTCATATGGTGAGAATTCCGAAAGCAAAACTAGTTTGAGGGCCTGTGCAGGATATGATGCTTCTGATGATATTGACATGCCTCAAGTGTTTTCTGTTGAAGCCAGAAGATGTGCAGAAATAGATAATGTTGAATGTTCATTAGTTATGGAAGGGAACTTGAATTTGCAACCACAGGCAGAAATAGATAATGTTAACTATTCATTGGCTTCTTCGTCTGGTGGAAATTCTCCTGAAACCAAATCTGGTCTCATTTTAAACCATGAAGTTTCTACAACTTGGACAAAAAGTGGATTTTCTTCTGGGATCTCAAATATTAATGGTTTGTGTCAAGATACCAGATCGGGTACAGATTGTAAAAAACCATCTGATAATTGTTCTGAAGATTGTCATGTAAATGATCTTGAAAGGGATGATTCTGTGTTGGATACAGTCAAAGGACAGAACCTGCAAATGCAACCGCAAGCTTCCACTGTGGGTGAAAACTATGAATCAGATGTTGCGTTGGATGATGTGAGTTCTTTAACCCGTTCACGATTTTTTGTTTTAAACTTTATAGATTTTATGGGTTGTTAAGGGTACAAATAGGACAAATTGTGAAAACTAGAACCCTGATAGGTAAATTTTTAGTTTATGTTTTTGAATGTAAATGGCTAACAGAAAGTAACTGGTTTTAATTTCTTTAATGTTGTGTGTGGGGTTCAATGAAAAAAAAATGCATTTTATTAGTTTATGCTTAGATAACTTCAGAAAAGTCTATTTCATTGATATCTTTCACTTAAATTTCAACTACATTTATTAGTTCATATGCTGCAGCCTTTTATTTGCATCTCTATTTTTTGAAGAATTTAATCGTGTGCTGTTCAAATGATCAAACGCTTATTCCTGTATCTTCATTTTGGTAGGTTGTGCCATGGTTTTGATTGTGATTTGATTTCTGTATTTTGCTAAAATTAAGAATAGATCAAAAAGGTGCCGTGTGTTGGCATTCACTTGTTGGATGTCTTTTTAAAAAGGGGAAACAAGCTTTTTTCAGTTATTAGTAATGATTGTTACTGAATTTGTTGTAGTTGGTAGCCAATCTTAATTGCGTATTAGATTGATGAAGTAAGCGAATAAGATATCTATACTAAATATTTCTGACATTGATTTAAAAGATCTTAAATTCTATCAACTTTATTTCTTGGAGGGCCTATTTATTTGATGATTATTATATCAGATATCAGGTCTTGGGATGCTTATTTTCTTATGTTACCTTATCAGTGCACATCATTCAGCTTTATTCACTCTATGTTTTATGATGGTTTCCATGTATTGGTGTAAAGCATTCATTTTTCTTTAGTGCAGTTTTTTTTTCCCCCTCAAACATGATTTATTCTGCTCAGAAGTCTTCGTTGGGTAGCAGAGGCTGCATAATTGATTATTATTTATAAAGTTTGTCATAATTTGTTCTCTTAATTAAATCGCTTTTTTATTATTGTCCATCCCTCATGTCTCTCTGAATGAATTATAATAAAATTAAAAATTAGCCATAAATCAGAATCATGAATTCAATTTTGACTTTCAGAATTATTTAATTTTTCCTTATTTCGAGTTTGTAGCATTTTTCAGTGCTGATTTTTCATACATGAGGGTAGAACGTTTAGGCTATGATGCATATACACGGACAAGGTGACACGGATACGACACAATACGGACACAGGACACGTCAATTATCGAAAATATAAGACACGATATTATAATTTTTTTATTTTAAAATAATATAAAAACTAAGTATAATATTAAAAATGACGTAGAAATAATAAGTCATGTAACTAGAATTTGTACTTAAAATGATTAATATTAGGTTGTCGAGAGTCAGACGTCAATTTTGTGTATCAGACATCGAGAGATGAGACAACAATGCTATTGAGAGTCGAGCATCGATTATAGGTAGTAAGTATCGGGCATCAGTGTCAAGAGGGTGTTTATCGTCGAAGTTGAGAGGGCGTTGGTCATCGATGTTGAGACGACGTCGAACAGAGATGAACTATCAAGTTGTGGGTGTAGAAATTGCTAGTGTGAGCATCAATGTCAAGACAATGTTAGATTTTGATGTTGAGATGATTTTAAAATGTCGATGTTATAACGATGTCAGACTTTGATGTTGAGATGACATTAGACATTATTGTGAAACCAAAGTGGAGCCCACCAATGAGAATTTTCGATGAATGGGGTATTGAGCGCAGACGATTGATTTGGTGTTGTGGATATGAAATAAGAAATTTAATTTTTTATATTTTAAATAAATAAAAAATTTAAACACTAAAAATTATATTTAGAAATTTTCATAAAATATTTAAGGCACGCGTGTCCAATTTGTATTTAATATTTTTTTAATCGGACATGTTTTTGGCATGTCCGACACGTGTCGGAGGCGTGTCATACGCGTGTCTTGTCGGATACGTGTCAGACACTACACTCCTCTTTGAGGAGAAGTGTCTGTGCATCATAGGTTGTGGATAAGGAATATCAATAAAGGGGAAAAAACTGTCACCTATACTAAACCCTGTCTCGTTCTCATCGCACTTGCGTACTTGATCATTTTAGTCTCCTTTCTCATATCAAGCCAGTTTCATTGTTAATATTGGAAGGTGCATGGAGTATCAATGGTTCAAGTTTTGTTGAGTTGTATGAAACCTTTGATCCTTGCATTTCTCTAACCATATTGTTCAAGATCAATTTAAATACCTTCAGATCAACAGTTAAGTGGAGAAAGCTTGGTATGAGAAGAAATAATGTTCCTTTATTTTTCACTGTTGGTTAGTCTGGTCGTGGTAGGTGATTGTGCTTGTTATAGCCTTATAGGTTATTGAGGTGGGACATTGGGCGCTCTATTACAATGCAAGGTATTTTCATAGATGCAAAAGAAGGCATGCCAAACTAGCAACGTTGGATGGTTTGTTTAGGTATTCTCCTCAGGTTCTGCTTAATATTTTCTAAAAAAATTTATTGACCTTCAAACTTCATCTAGAAGACGATCATCATCATCATCATTTGCCTTTTCCTATTCATTTTAGGTTAGTGTTATGAATCCTTATTTTCTTTTCGTTTCTTATTGAGTGCTTTTTGTGGTTTGAAACCTAATTTTTCCGGATTATTTTGGACAACTTATCCATTTAACAAGTAGTTTATGCTTGTTAAACAGTCTGCCAAATTATTGTATCTGTCAAATATATCAAATCCAAATGACTAATTTTGTTTACATTGGAACGAATTGTGGTGGTATATATTTGAAGTACTTGGTCAACAATGTTGCACTGATACGGACACTGCGATACGACATTGATACGGGACACATCAATTATTAAAACTACAGGACACGGTTACGACGTAGACACCGCATTAGAATTTATAATTCTTGTATTAAAATTAAGAAGGCAATCAAAGCATAATATTTAAAATGATAAAAAAATAATAAAGCAATATTATAATTAGTGTTGTAGCTTATAATATTAAAATGAAATTTAGTATGAAATGTTTAGTATAACATTAAAAACTTAAACATAAACTATCTAGTACATGATATTTCAACTATTCGGTAAAAGGAACGATGGGATTAGCTTCTTCAGGGATTTGTTTTTGGACTTCAATATCATCTTCAATAAATATCATTGCTTCTAACCATCTCCAATATTCTCATATCATCAAGGAACTCAAATCCATCTCCAACAATATCATACCCATCTTGTTATCTCCTTCCATATAAGTTGGAGTCTTTCTTGATAGAAGCTGAGGGTTTGTATGCACATAAATTAAATCTTCAACATGTTGTGAAGAATTTTGTTCCTCTTTATTGATGGGATAAAGGAGGTTACCCATTCAAGGATTTCTTTGGGATAAGTATGCTTAACAACGGAGTTTCTTAATGAAATTCCAGCAATTACACCAAAAGACGTCTTGATGTTTAAGAGCTTAACTTCTTTTACTTAAGGGAAGCCCCCATAGATTCTTTTAGACTTAAAAGTTGTTGAATATTTGAATGAGAGTAAGAGAGATGACAAATATAAGAAAGGGTCTATTATCGATAAATTAAATTTTTTTTTTTCAAAATTTTGATGCAAGATATATTTAAATCCAACTAATACATAAGAAAGGTAATAAGCAAATTGCACCAATTCCATCCCAAGCATAGGAAAAGATAACATAAATATTGTCTATCAAAATAGAATAAAGAAATTTTACTTGGAATGTCCTCTCTCTTATGAAGTTGTTGCTCAAGAAGGAATTGAGAGAAGAATTTTTGGAGTGCAAATTGGCATATTGCTTGATTCTTATGAATTGGTTTTGATTTGTCCTTCGTGTTTAGCCATTCCCTTTTGTATGTGTTAGGTGGAATCTTTCTCCGCACAACTAGTTTTCTATATTTCTGTCTTCAGTTGCAAGATCATGATTATTGATGTTGATTAGCAACCTAAGAAGAATTTGGTTTTCTAATTTGATCACTTATGAAGATCTGATTATTGATTAAACTTACTACAACAACAACAACAACATCAAGCCTTTGTCCCACTACGTGGGGTTGGCTACATTAATCCTTTTTCGTCATTGTGTCCGGTTAAAAGTTATTATTGATTAAACTTACTGAAGAAATAAAAAGCTTGTAATGCCCTCACTAAAAGTACTAGTTCTACATAATATATTTTGAAATCAATTTCATTAAAACTGATCTAGATGTCTTTTTATATGCACTCAAAAATTTTTGTTTGATTTGAGCAGTTCAAAATAAAATTAATGAATTAATTATTTCACCATCTAGATTGTCTACTAGGATGATTTTTTTGTAAACTTGATGCATGATCAAATCACCTTGAATTTTGTAGGTAAAAGTGTGTGATATTTGTGGAGATGCTGGAAGGGAGGATTATCTTGCTACATGCAGCAAGTGTAGTGATGGTGCAGAGCATACGTAAGTTTGTGAAACTTCAAAGTATTAAGTGCACCCTTTTTCTCCATTTCCTTCTCTGATTACATTTTCCCTCTTTGCATAGATACTGCATGCGAGAAATGTTGGATAAAGTTCCTGAGGGCGAGTGGCTATGTGAAGAATGCAAAATCAAGGAAACTGAGAGTCAGAATGCGAATGAATGTGAGGCAGCTTATGGAAGGTTAAAATCAATATGTCCTAATGATATTAATCAAGACTTTATGAGTCCTTTGATCCCCATGCAAACAAACAAATTTGATGCTACACCAACTGATTTGGATGCCCGTGGATCAGCCAAGGGATTGCAAGGCCCCCATATTTCAATTAGGAGGCCGGTTGACCCGTTGGTGGAAGGAAAAGCTTCTGAACTTAGTGGTGCTTCCATAGAGAAAGCCAGCCCAGGGGAAAAACCTGTATTGTCTCGCCAAATTTCATCAAAAAAACTGGATATGGGAAAGATGAAAGCGGCTAGAATGGAACCATCATCTGAAGCTCAGCTTGCAAAGGGTTCTGAGGCTTTTTCTTGCTCAAAAACTTATTTAAAGTCTAGCTCGTTTAAGGGACTACCACCCCTTTATTCACCTCGTGGTAGGTCTGCATCTAGTTTTTTTCTCATTTAGATTCTAAATAAAATACTGTTCATTCTTAAGCTGGTTGTTTATGAAGCTTGTTTCTTTTATTTTTCTCAGGGAGACTTTCAAGGTCAGTTTCTTTTAATAACTCTAACGTGAATCCAAAAGTCAAAACTCTAATTGAAAATGCACCTCCTAAGCAAAAAATTACAAGGGATCCCAATGAATTTAGGAAAGAAGGTTTGTTCAAAACATCGACCAAACCTATGTTTAAAAACATAACCTCAGAATGTTCAAATACTGATTTAGCAAGTAAAAATCCACTGCTTCAGCCGTCTCGTACTGAAGATTTAAGAGCCCTCAAAGAAGTTAAAGATCGAAATACAGTAGAAAAGAAGAATTTTTCTGTAAAGGGAAACTCTTTTATCAGGCCATCTGCAGCCATTACCAGCAATTATCCTCTTAAGGTTGATGCTAAGTCTGTACAGAGTGATGGAATTAAGAATAATGTATCTGACGCAAGTATTTGTAGCTTAAGTGAAGGACTTAATGCGGACAGCTTAGGTAAAAGTTTGCTCATCAAATTTGCCTTGTATTCTATTTAATAATGTTTTGCTTTAGGTAACGTTTGTTCTGGATCTTCTAGGTTCCAATGAAGGGAAGAAACAGGTCTCATATTCGTCTAAGAATATTGAATCTTCCAGTGGCAACTATGATGCTGACTATCCCAAGGGGTTCAAAGTCACCACAGAAGCTTTGCGGAGGAGTATCAGTTCTGTCGATGGGTCATATAGAAAAGTCGAAATCGTATCACCACGTAGAGCTGTCCAACCATTAGAGTCTGGCCATAAAGACCGGAGAACAAGGGATTCTACCATTTTTATTGGCTCAAAACTTTCTACCTTGGGTGATAACGGGCGTACAATTCAGTACAAACGTGGAGGATCTGCTCGTAGGACTTCAGCTGACCAGAATTCAAGGGGGGTGGAGAAAAAGGGTAATAAATGGAGAGAAGTGGTAAATGCGGCTATGACAAAGAGTGGAATACTAAAGGGTGGAAAATCTGATACGCTTGTGGAGGTTCCAGCAATCAGTGCAGATATGATTTGTGAAGGAGCTTCAAAACACACTTCAAGTGCTTTTAATCAAAGGTCTTTGGTTGTAGAAAACAACATTGGTAAAGTCAGCTCAAAGAATTCAGCTGATGTTTCCACTAAAACAGTAGCTTCCATAGGTTTGGCTCAACTGGCTGTCCTTCCTGTTAAGGCTTCTGGCAAAGCTGATGGCACAAGGGACGCTCCTAATGCTACTGAGTTGAGTGTGAAGTCAGTTGCAAAGACATTGCAAGGCGAGGCTTCTCTTTTAACAAAACCAGGATCAGCAGTTCCAAAGCTTGAATGCATCTGGCAGTATGTTATGCTTATTTTGCTAGATTTTTATTTATTTTGAATGTAGTTAGAATATTCTCTTTGTCCCATATGTAATACTTTTTTTTGTTCTAATTTGCAGAGGTAGTTTTAATGTTATTGGAACCGGAAACCACTCCAAAATGTTCTTTGGGATTCAGGCTCACCTATCAACTTTTGCTTCCCCTAGAGTGTATAAATTAGCAACCAAGGTCCCTGGTAATGTCCAATTAGAGGAGGTTTCTCACATTAGCTCATGGCCTTTGCAGCTTCTACGAACTGGTCCTCAAGATGAAAATATTGCTCTATTTTTCTTCGCTAAAGATGTTGAGAGGTTTGTTCATGGAAATATTTCTTTTGTTTTTATTTGCATTTTTATATGATTGTTGGTATCTGATGTATCCTCTTGGATTTTGTTCAGTTACGACAGAAGCTATAGAAAACTAATGGATAAGATGCACAGAAATGATTTGGCCCTCAGAGGAAACATTGAGGGAACTGAACTTCTTATATTCACTTCAAATAAGTTGCCAATGAACTCCCAACGTAAGTAATAATGTCGGCACCTGCATCTTTGGCATAATTGTAAATTTGTGGGAAAATATTGAAGAACTGCATTATTTTCAGGTTGGAACAAGATGCATTACCTTTGGGGCATGTTTAGAGGCAAGAGGAGATATTACTTACCTGTGATGGGTGACCAGAAGAAGTCTTTGTTGTCCAATCAAGATTTTTTTGTACCACCCATTGCAGATGTTTCAAATGTGCAGAGCTTAGAAACCAGTTCAAAATTGAAGAAATTATCCGATTTCATATCATCCAAAGTGGTGTATGGGGAGCATACTAATGGTGTGGATTTGCCTCCTATTTCTTCCATTATTGAGGATAAGACACGCAAGACACCGGAAGTTTCTCCAGTTCAGAATCTGTTGAGTGAAGTGCATGCTGTTCCTAACGTAACTCAAGAAAAGCCTTCATTTTCGGTTAGTAGTTCATCTGGGACCAAAGCTGAGCCATTGAGAGTTACTTCTGATTATCCTAACTCAAGGCTTCAAATGACTACAACTAATTCATGCTCTGAAGAGAAAAACAATGGTACTTATCAGGTAATTTTTATTATTTCTTAATAAAGGAAATACTTCTCAAATGAAGAAACATCCGGATTTTCTTTTTCCAGTTCATGGTATCAAGGAGTGGTCATTGGCAGGTTATATGACTTCTAATAGCATACTTATTAAACGTTCTTTACACCTCAGTTGTTTAGGCAAATTTTGCATTTGTGATAGGAAGTGGATTCAATTTTAGTAAAATGAGAGAACGACACATGAAATTTAAGAAGAAAAACACCGAAGAATTCTTTTTTATGAAAAAGAACTAAGAAGAAAAAACACAAGATACAATTGGATCTTCAATTGGAGAGGAAGATTCGATCTCTCAAATCCCTAACCCTCGGCTAGAGCTCACTCAACCTAAGCAAAACTAATTCCAACAAGATCAAGAAGAATCTAAAATAACCCCATAGTTAGCCTTAAATAGGCTCCCCTAATTCCCTTCCAAATCAGTCCTCTTTCCCTATATAATTCTCCCTCATATTTGAATTCAAACTATATATCTTTCCCTAATTAATTTCCTTCCAATTGTAATTAAAACTTTGCTAAATAATTCTCCCTTGATTCCTCATGTAATGAAAATTAACTCCCTTGGCCTTTCCCTAAATAATTTTCTCTCATATTTGAATTCAAATTAGATTTCTTTGCCTAATTAATTCCTTCCCAATTGTAATTAAAATTTTCCTAAACAATTCCCTCTCTCTCTTCTTGCCCGTCGCTCACCCTAGTGGGGCTCATTGGCGCAGCCGCCCCGGTCCATCAATACTCCCCTCACAATGAGTCACTTTGTTCTTAAGGTGGAATAAAGGAAATTATTGCTGAAGCACTGGACTAATAACAGTGGAATAGAAAATTGATTGACAATGGGTCGAACGATCTCTGCCTCAAGCATCTCCCTAATCAATTTCTCAATCTCTTCGTTCTGAATTTGGGGATGACGGTACATACAAACACTGATAGGTGAGACTCATTCCTTCAAGATGACAGCATGCTTGCGTTTCCGTGAAGGAGGCAACTCCTAGATTGGTTGTAACACCCCTCGATATTGTTGTAGGGGTACCTGAACCTTTTTTGGTACTTCTATCTTCTCCTCATCTTTTTCTCCTTCCAATCTCTGCAGCTCCACCAAAAATCCCGCTCTTTTACCCTTTTCTCTCCTTGGAAGTGGCTCCAAAGGTGGCATCTCCCCTTCTTCCCCCAACATTTCCAACTCCAGATTCTCTCCTCTTCTTATCGGATTATTAGGGTTTCCTCTACTCCCTTGGCCGCCGAGGGCTCCCCTCGCCTCTGATGACGTCGTTTTGGTTTGGACCTCGAGCATCTTCTTCATCATCTCCTCCATGATGGCAAACTTTCCATTGATCCTCTCATGGAAGGTTGAAATTTGACTTGGAAATATGAAATTTTAGATTTCAATTGTCTAATCTCCCCTTCCAACACTTCTACCTTTCTTTCTACCATAGGTACCCAGATCTATCCTCTAATACCAATTTGATAGGAAGTGGATGCAATTTTAGCAAAACCAGAGAATGACACAAGAAATTTAGGAAGAAGAACGCACAAGAACTCTTTTTTATTGAACTAAGAAAAAAACATAAGATATAGCTGGATCTTCAATTGGAGAGGAAGATCAGGTTCTCCTCTCCCAAATTCGTAGCTGTCGGTTAGAGCCCACTCAACCTAAGCAAAACTAGTTCCAACAAAATCAAGTATAATTTGAAATCATCTCATAGTTAGCCTTAAATAGACTCCTCTAATTGCAGCAATCTTTCCTTAAATAATCCCCTCTCAGATTTGAACTCAAATTAAAATTTTTCTCTAATCAATTCCCTCCCAATTGTAATTATAACTTTCCTAAACAATTTTCTTTCTCTCTTCTTGCCACCGCCCACCCTAGTGGGGCCCATTGGCTCAGCCGCTAGTCCATCAATTTGCTTGCATTCAGCTTTAACCATTTTATCAAGGATACTAGTTGATAATGAACATTGAAAACTGCTTCAATAATTAAATCTTATTTTAGCCTACTTTTATCATTATGGATCTAGCAAAACTAAAAAGTATGTCATCAACACCTAAATTTATAGTTGCATGGGATAGGCATCAGAGCTGTGTAATTTGGGTCATCCTCTCTCTCTCTCTCTCTCTCTCTCTCTCTCTCTCTCTCTCTCTATATATATATATATATATATATATATATAGTTGGTGTGTGTGTGGCGGTTGTGGGGGTTGGCTCTGTTTTTTGTGAAGAATGGAACGAATGTGAAATAGAGCGATGTAAGCCCTATGCACCGGGCAGAATAGTTGTTAAGGTTGATGGCTTGAAAACTTGCTGGAAATTCTAAAAGCCAAGTTTTCTAACTACGGCTTTGAATGATTAAAGAATAGTGTTGTTCCTCTTCTCTGCACCGTTTGGCTGATGTTGCATATTGTCTTGGCAGCTTTCCAAATTCACATAGGCTATATTATATTATATATATATATAACTATATAATACTTCAAATGTTTTTTTTTTTAATTACAAATTTAAGACTATATAGAAAGCAATCAAAAGATATTAACTTATCCTAGTAGAGGATTACTGGAATTGAAAGTTAAGCGATTATTGTTATCATATTCAAAGTAGGGTTGCTAACGGTAGACAAATATAGAATTGTTAGTTAGACAAAAATTCTGATATGGGATAATGGCAGGTTTCTTTACAACAAAGATTTGTCATTGAAGTTTATTGTAGAGTATTATGAGAAACGGCATCTACATTAGTATACTGAATATTGAGTGGACTGAGTAAAAATTACTTAAATGATCTTTTAAAAAGTAAACGTATGTTTAAAGAGAGTGGCCAAATATAAGAACAAATAATATTTATTGAGATTATAAAAAGTCAGTTAGTTCTTTAAAGAAGAATGTGAACATGAGTAAAGCCGACTTTTTGATGATTTATCTAATTAGTTTACTACTAAGGGGCAAGAAAAACGAATGCGTTAAAATAGTTCATAAACTAAAAACTCTTTGATAAAATGTGATAGCAGTAGAAATGAAAATACAGAAAATCTTATTAACTTGAGACAAAGGAGGAAGCATGAATAACTCTATTTAGAAAATTAAATAGGGTGTCTTGACATACATCATTAGAAAAGCATACTAAAAAAAAAGAACGAGACGTTACTTATAGGCTAAACAAGTAAAGTTGAGTTAATCCAAAGAAAATTACATAAATGTAAAGCTTTAGGTCTATATGAGTGGATATTGAGATTTAAAGTGATAGGAGTCATCATAGTATTTGATTGACAAATTCTATTCTCAATAATATTCCGATTTGAAAGAACTAACAAATATGTAAATTGGCTAGGAAAAGTATTCTTTAGTACATATTATTTGAAACAACTATATAACATTCAAGATTTTTGACTACATATATATGTATTCAAACTTTACGAATCATGCAATGAAGTTACGAGAAATAGTAATTGGACAAAGATATAGAAATTTATTGTTAATTTTAAACGAATCAATTTTGTTTCTAGGAAGATCCCACTACGGCAGTGATTTTCTTGTGTGTCCAATGACTTTTAGTATTTAAGACGATTAGTGTAGTGTAGAGTGCAAAGTGGAATGGTACATCTTTTACATCTTTTATTGTTCATGCAAAATTATATGATTTGAATACATTAGAGTGTGACTTTACGCGCATTGTGGAGAAGATTGTTTTGTCCAGAAGTATGCAAAAGTATTATTTTTGATAGAGAATGTCGTTAGTATTAGAAAAAGTTTGATGTGATTCAAAAAATTTTCAGTTGTACTATTAATTACAGTTTAAAGACCTTTATATTATGGGTTATTGTGGAACTTATAAAGGATAATCAAATTGAGATTGCCATCGATTTATGCTTTTTTCAAGTTGATATAGTTATGAATCGGTGAGACATTAAAATAAAAAAAAGTTTGGCAAAGTAACAAAAAAACACAAAGATATTTACGGAGATAGATGGCGCTAAAGATGCCAAAGTAGATAGAAAGAATAAAATTAGATCATTGTGACATAAGCAAGCTTTAGTATTTATTGTATTTATTAATTAAATTTTGTTTAAAGCCAACATTCTTATTAGAAGAATAAAGTTATATCTAGCGTCATAATAAGATCTTAAGTATCTTTTGGCATATATATATATATATAACGTATATATATATATGTATAATATTACGGAAAATATATATTCTAGAGTAGGTTGGATAATTCAATTGAGAAAGATGTCAGAGCATATTTGATGAGTGATAGCATAGTAACTTGAAAAGTGTGTATTTTATAAGCCAAATAATGTATAATGAATTTGAGTGCTAGACATTCAAAAAGTCATTGATGGTTAAATTTAGCATGATAAATAATAATATTAAGATGGATGAGTGGAAAAAACTGACAGCTATAACAACAACAACAACAACAGGCCTTTGTCCCACTACGTGGGGTCGGCTACATGAATCCTTTTTCGCCATTGTGTCCGCGGTTAAAAGTCAAATTCTCATCTAAATCTAATAAAGAAAGATCATTTCTAATATTTTCTAACCAAGTCTTTTTAGTCTACCTCTACCTTTCTTAACATAAGCCAAATCTAATATCTCAAACTTTCCTAACCGGGTCATTGGAAGGCCTCCGTTTAATGTGACCAAACCATCTAAGCGTCTCTCTCTAATCTTATCTTCCACTGGAGCTACTCCAACCTTTTCACGTATATGCTCATTTCGTATCCTATCTCTAAGGGTCAAGCCGCTCATCCACCTAAGCATCCTCATCTCTGCAATGCGTACTTAGTATTATTGCTTCTCTCTTCAAGTGCAACATATTCGGCACCATAAAGCATTGCAGTTCTCACCACCATCTTATAGAATTTCCCTTAGTTTGAGGGGTACTTTCTATCACACAACATGCCCAATGCATTCCTTCACTTCAACCATCCAACTTGAATTCTGCTGATAATATCCCCATCAATTTCACCATCACTCTGAACAATAGATCCAAGATATCTAAAACGTGTACTCTTATTAATGACTTGATCGCCCAAAGTCACAATCCCCTCACTAGGTCTATTTCCACTAAAATTACACTCCATATATTCAGTTCTAGATCTACTCAAGCGAAAAATTTTAGACTCTAAAGTTGGCCTCCATAATTCAAGTTTACCTTCAACTCCCTCTCTAGTCTTATCAACAAGAAGAATATCTTCAGCAAAAAGCATGCACCAAGGTATATCCTCTTGCAAATGTCTAGTGAAAACATCCATGGCTAAAGCAAAAAGATATGGACTTAAGGCTGATCCTTGATGTAATCCAATTGAAATAGGAAAATACTTGGTCAAACCACCTTGTGTTTGAACACAAGTAATAGTTCATGCATACATATCTTTAATGATTTGAATATAAGTAATAGCTCTTGCATACAAGTATAAATTAAAGAATATTTTTATAGGGGTATGAAGACTTAAAAGGTTAATTTTATCAAACAACTAAGTTGAATTTGTTGTATGGATTCTAGAGTTGAGCATTCAAATTTTCATGGTTAAGTTGAGTGTGGTGGAAATAAAAATGTTAACATGGATGCATGGAAAATTTAAGAAGGATTTATTAAAGAATGGCTATATAGAAGGGATGGTTGAAATAGCATCTATTCAAGACAAGGCAGTTGAAAATAGAGTTAGGTGGTTTGTACCTAATGAAGGATAAAAAATGCTCTATTGGCTAGATAGATAAATTAATTATTGAAGGATTAAGAAGAAAAATAGATAAAGGCAGGCAACATGAACAAAAGTTTAAAAAGAATTGCAAAGAATATGTCTGGCATCTCATGCATATCAAAATTAATGAACCCCAAATGATTGAGATATGGATATACTTGATTTATTAATTTCTAGAAGATTAGCTCATAAGGTGACATTGCTTCATCTTTAGATAAGCTTCATTCCTTCTCATAGTTATATTACTGTCATTAGCATAATGATCTGTGCTTCATGGTCAGCCACAGAGCTACCTTCTGAATGTTTCTGCGTTCATCATTTTTTGCCTGAAGCTTGTGGTTTTTAGCACTTTCAAAACTCAAGGCATCCATGTTTGTGCTTGAATGCTTGTGTTTATGTGTTATTATATAATACTGATTTGGCATATAGCGTGTTCATAGGCGATTTACTATGATTGTGTATCATACTTTAGCTGAATTTATCCTTTTTTCATGCAGGAAAAATTCGTCGGTGGTTGCACAAACAGAAAGGCTGGTAACTCATATGTTCTTACCTATGAGACTGGTGTTGAATCTAGCCTCAGAAAAGCACCATCTGTGCCCTCAGTTTCTCCAAATTGCAATGAAGGTGAAATTATGTTTAACATAAGTGTCAATAAGTTCATCAGCCCAATACTTTTCATGATTTTACTTATTTATCTCCATGCAAACTAACAGGTGCTGACTGCATCAACATCGAAGAAAACAGTGGAGAGAAAGAGACCTCACTGTCTGTTCGGGCCATTATAGATGACGATCAAAGAGGAAATGTGCTTGGGGAAGACCTCGTTGGTTGTGAGTCGTCGACAGCCAACAGAAAACGGGAACGCTCGTGTTCTATGGAGAGAATTTCAGAACCTTCCGGTGAGATATCAAAGAATACCATTGAAACGGTGCTACTGAGAGATGGACCAAGTTGGTTTCCTGTTGAGGATGAAAGTGAGCAGAAGAAGACTTGTTATAACAGTGGTAGTAGTGACATCAACGATACTACAACAAGCGCTCGGTTGTCCTCCAAGGTACACCCCTTGTATTCTACCATTATAAGGCAGGAGCAACCGGTAGAAAGCCTCTGCAAAGAAACTTTGAAGCCTCAGAATGTTAGAAACACAGAGAGGTGTTTTTTCCAAATAGACTTAGGCCCTGTGCAGAACGGTAACTGCACCAACATCATACAAATTCCTTCAAAAGAAGAAGAAAATTTGCTTGAATCAAGCAGTCCTGATCTTGAATTAGCTCTTGGGGGGAAGAGCAAACCAACAAAACTCTTTTCATTTCCATCGCTTTTCCATTCAGTTGATGGAGGCAAGCAAAACTGGCAACCTGGTTCTCCAGGGGATGGTGATGATGCATCAGCGTCTCTCTCTCTGTCTCTTTAGTCTTCCTGCATCAGAGGAGAGCATAGCTAAAATGATTTTAGATGACAGAATATATCTTAATACTGGGCAACCTTGCAACAACACAGTTTGGTAGATTCAGAAGCTATTGAAATGGAACTTCTGGGAGGCAATACATGCTTGATATGCTATTGTTGATCTCTGAGTTCTGAGGGATGATTTTAGAGCGCTTCCCATTTGTTCATAGCTGCACCTTCTACAAAAATTCTTGTTTTTTTTTTTTCAACTTTTTTGCCGGCTGTTTTTTTACTGTTTGTTCTTGTTTTTAGAGTGGTTAGTAACGGCTACTTGTATATATATATATAAGAGGAAAGCCGAAGTTTTTCAGCGAGCAGTATTTGCCTATTTTTTTAATCTTTGTCCTAATGTTCAAGTTAAGTCTCATTCTGCTTTTTAAAATAATTCTTTAGTATAAAAATTTTTAGAATAGAAATTACATTAGAAAGCAGTAAGAAAGCTATCTCAAACTAAGGCTTCGTTTGGGACGGCTTTATTACTGCTTTCTAAAACGGAGTTTTAATAAAAAAATAAAAAAATTTACTCCGTTTTAGAAAGCAATAAAAAAGCCGTCCCAAACGAAGCCTAAGACTTTGTTTGGGATAGTTTTTTCATTGCTTTCTAGAACAATTTTTTAGTTAAAAAAATTAATAATTCAAGAAAATTTTTAACTAAAAAACTTTTTAAAGTTGAATTTGTATGCTAAAAAGCTGTTTTTAGAATCAAGAAAAAATGCTGTCACAGCTGTTTTAAGAAGCAGTAAAAAAGCCGTCTAAATAAAACCTAAATCATAATCTTTCTTTCTTCCATTTTATTGCGTGCCTTGCAAAATTTTTTTTTTCTTTTTTTTATTTTAAATTTTTTTAGAGCCTTGCAAAATATGTGGACAGAAAATTTCAGCTGATACAATAACGGTTTTAAAAGTAATTTTTATGATTTTTTTTTTTAGTATTTGTTATGTGAAGATAATTTATTGTCCTAACATTGAACTAAAATCATGTACAAATATTAGTAACTTATAAGCGGAATGATATTTTATTATATAAAAATGTTGAAAAGAGAAAATCACAAGGTCTAATGTAGTGTTAATTTAATAATATAAATATGAGCTAAATAAGACCTCTCATGTAGTGTTAGGAAGAGGAATTTAAAGGTGTTATTATCAACCTCACTAAACCCTAAGTGATGTTGGACAATCATCTCAATCCCTTTATTAATAGGAGAAAGCGAAAAGACATCGTTAAATGTTGATAGTTGATGGATATTAGATGTTGATCATTAGAAGTTGTTGGGAGACAATCGACTGTGAGTATTGGATGATGATTGATGGAAAGTTAGGCTATTTTTTTTATAGGAGAGAAGATTAACAACCATAAAGACGGGGCGGCTGTCGAGCGTTATATGATTGTTGATTGGGCAATGATCAAGTTTATGTGATTGTTCTCCATATACGATGAGAGATTGTAGATCATGGAAAATATGTTGAATGTTGATTATTGCAAATGTTAAACATTAGAAAATCATGGATAATGGTTTATTAGTAATGTTGTATGTTAGATAGATTACCGACTTGAAGTTTGTTTTTTTGACATTAAATACTAGCAAATGTCTAACTGCAATCAACTAAGAACGTAACGTAGAATGACAATTGATGATTTGCTCGAAAATTCTTATAGGAAGCGAGGTGGGCAACTAAGAATGTAGATGTCTAACATTATTAGTTGAAATACATTAAAGTTGGATGTCATTGAATGATAATCTATTGACAAAGTTTTTTGTTTTCATATTGGGTGCTTTTATATATGAAACTCTAATACTTCATATTTTGAAAAGTTTAAGATGTAAAATCTTAATTTTGAGAAATTTATAAGTTGCAATTGCTCCTTGGACTTCAATGTGGATATTGGTTTGAGTTTTGCGAAGTAAGTTATAACATCATTTAAGACAAATTTGAAGAAATTCCATTCAAAATTCTTCAAAATGCTATGTAATATTTTTTCTATGTAATTCTATGTAATATTCTATATATAAGAGTCATGCAACCCTAATAGTATTGAAGAATTAATTAAGAATTTTTTTTAAGAATTTGATTTGAAGTGACTTGGTAGCTTCTTCCTCTTTTTGAAATTCTTTAGCAAGATCTTCACTTATTTGTATATGTGTCTCTCTTTGTACAACCTTAAAACCTTATGTTTGGTTGAACACAACAATAACACCTACACATTAGCTTGATTTAATATCACATACTCATATGGTATGGGTATATGAGTCTGACCATTCAAGAACCAACCCATCATAATATGTCATCGATATCAAAAGTTTAACACTAAACTTCTACATAATATTGAATTTGATGTGATATTGGATATGAATAATTTCTCTTCTTATCATACTAGTACTGATTGTAACAAGATAACGATGAAGTTCTATATGGTCAATATAGTTGTACGGCAAATGTGTTGATCCTCCCTACCACCAGTTCACTTTGCAAGAATCTTAAAGTACACTAAAGGGATTAAGATTCCCTCAAAATTTAGTTTTGAGAGTTTACTCGTGATAAGAAAATGCTTCGGAGACAATATGGGTTCCTTTGTTGAATCTTTCTCAGAGGCCTTCACATGATCATTTAATCAGACATTTATGAGAGACGATTCGCATTTATGTTGATCTAATATGATGTGTCTAATCAAAAATCACTACTGATAGAATTATTAATCTCTACCAAGTGAAAAAAAATTGAAAAAAAATGATGAACCAACTATATTCTCAATATTTTTAAAAAAAATATAGTAAAGATTATTTTAAATATAAAAGATAATTGATAGAGGCATTAAAGGGGTGGTGGCGCAGTTGGCTAGCGCGTAGGTCTCATAGCATCTGAGTTATCCTGAGGTCGAGAGTTCGAGCCTCTCTCACCCCATTTTTCTCTCGGTTTTTTTTTTTTTACTTTTTGTAATCATGCAGCTATGGCCTTGTATGTCGGTAATGTTATTATTATTACATTGGGCTGTTTGGTTGCTTAAAAATTTAAAAAAAAAAAAATAGTGTAAAAAAATATTTTGAAGTTATTTTGATAAGTGTAAAATATATGTTGATGAAAGAATTTTTTAATTGAAATAATAAATGGCTTGTTAAGTTCAAAAAATGGTGATGATTGGTGGCTGATGGGCAGTGGCCGCATCAATCAGCGGGGTTGTGGCCAATGGGGGGTCGCGGCATTGGCCAGCAATGGCAATCGGTGGGCAATGGTGGCCTGCGGGCTTTCATGGCCAGTGGGGGTGGCGGTGACGGTGGGAGTTTTGTTTGTGGTGTAAACGGTTCTTACTTTTTAGATGAATTTGATTTACTTCAAAAATAAATTAAAATGATTTACACTTTAAGCCTTTTTTACATCACTTTGTATTCCAACCAAACAGCCTTATAATAAACATCTTTGGAGAGAAGATGTGTTTGCACGGATTTCCAAAATGATAATAATAATTTTAATCTCATTGAATTATTTATTTATCTATTTATTTGAGAGTTATAATTCACACACACAACGCATACACATAGACTCGAACCTTAGACCTCTTAGTTGGAAGCCTAAGCTCTCAACCAATAGGCCACGGAGAGCTATGTTAAATGTTTTAGGGAAATTTACATATATACCACTTTACATCATCCTATTTACATATCTAAAACTCAAAATTTTAATATTACGTACATACCACCCTATATTATTTTAATATCAAATATGCCACTCATATTTTCCTCATACCACTCAAATATTTCATTTCTACCACTCATATTTTATATGAAAATGAACTATTGGTGGCATGTATGTAATATTACAATTTTAGATATTAAATAGAATAGTATAGAATGGTATGTATGTAAATCTCCATAATGTTTAATCTCAATGAGAATATCTTCCCTCTTTATTTTATTTTATTTTATTTCATTAATAAGGTTTTTTTTTTTCATTTGTTGGTCCCTCTATATTTATCAGATTATTATTTTTTTTTTTTTGGAAATTCGTGCAAACGGCGTTTCTATTGAGCTCGAGCATCCATAACGCTAAAAAAACATATAAATTATATCAATGAGATTAAAAGTTAATATATTTTTTTAATTCGTGCAAAAACCGCATAACTACCGTGTTTATAGTAATTTTTTTGTTAGCTTAATATATTAGTTTTATTTTCTAGTATATTCACGCCGGCAGATATATAGAGTTAAAATTTATAATTAAAAAAAAAAATTCAACACACAAATAGATAAAGAGAATAGTGTAAGAGTCATAAGAGACGTCGTATTTTTTACGTGGAAAGTAAGAAAAATAGAAAAACCGCCAGGTTTAGGCGCAACTGAAATGACTTCATTAGTAATTGTCATTGATTACAGATGATGTTCTTTCCTGAAGGAATATATTGATATAATGTAAATAACATATTATATGATTGAAGTTGGAAAAGTCCTTCAACAGGAATCCAACATAAATAAAGATGTGAGTCATAGTTGATGTCGAAGGCGTGCACCAATTATGTAAGTGATGGTGTGTTTTAGCAATATTAACGATGGTAGTTGATAAAAAAAATAGGAGTTAGAGTACCCAGGTGATAATAGCAAAAAACTTATAGGTCAGAGGACTATAATCGACGAGCGTTGAAGGTCAAAGTATCACAATTGGTTGGCAATAAAGGTTGGAGAGACTGTATTAAGGCGATAATGATTGTAGGATCATAGTTGGACAAAATTGGTTTAAGAACCATATTTGGGTGATGGAGGTAGGAGGGTTGTAGTAGGCGAGAAACATAGGTTAGAGGATCATATTCAACGAACGATGAAGCTCGGATGATTATAGTCAATTAAATGGTTGTCAAAGGACTATAATTGAGTAACAGTGGTTCGAGGATAATAGTGGGGCGAAGTTGGTCTTAGGATCATAGTTAGAGGGTGTTAGAGATCAGAAGGCAATAGTCAGGTGATGATGATCGGATGATCATAATCAATGGGTAATTGAGATTAAAAGAACTTTAGTCAAGTGATGATGGTCATAAGATAGCAGTTGAGCGAGGTGGTCTGAGAACCTAAGTCGGGCGGCCGTAGTCCAAGGACCATAGTTGGCAGACGACGGAGCTCAAAGGACTGTAGTCGGCGAGCGAGCGATAGATATTGGAGGATAGTATTCAGGCAACGATAGTCCAATGACTATAGTTGATAGGCGACAAGGTGGGAAGGACTATAGTTGAGCGATGGTGGTCGAACGACCATGGTGGTCTCTTGGTAAAGGCCCGATTACGATTGTTAGTTGATAACCCATCAATGGTGCTACGAGATGTTTAGAGCTTTATAGCTCTCTTGAAGAGAGAGAGAGAGAGAGAGAGAGAGAGAGAGAGAGAGAGAGAGAGACTAGGCTTAAGCTTTCAGCTTCTCATTCATGCAAAGAGTGGGGCCTATTTATAGATTTTTTAAGAGTGACATATTTAAATATAGTGAAAATCCATAACACTTCATCGGACAACTCATATCGAGACTCTTGATCATAGAATATTTGTTTAGCTTTTAAGTTCTTTAATGATGTCAAAATTAAGTGATTTTAAGCTTGTTGGATTAGTCTTAATAAGTCGCTTGATTTAATTATTATTATGAAATTTCAATTATGCTTCAAGCCCCATTTTGATATTGTTAGGTTCACCTTGTCAAAAAAATTAACTTGATTACAAATTTGCTCAAATTGGAGTTCAAATGATCTTAAATTTAATTTTCTTCGAAAATTGCTAAATCAAATTTGTATTGAGATTTATGATCGATTCGGACAATTTCTTATGACTGATCAATTATAATTATGAGATACCCTTATATATATTAGAGCAACAAAGGAGGCTACATTCAATGGAGGCAAGTAATAGTAGCATTCGCGTTGGGTGACCGACGATGGCAATGTGGGAATGCAAAATCAATTTATAGTGTATTTAAAATTCAACTAAAAATTTGTAAAGTATTGAATACAATAAATATGAATTAGAAAGCTAATTTAAAATTCACAATTTTACTTTACATTCTTTTTTCATCAAATCAAACATCAAAATTTTTAAAACTCCTACATTTAAAATACTTCTTATTAGTTTTTCATCAAATCAAACATCCTCTTAAATCTTAATATATAGCGACTACCTCTTCAAACCTTGAGTGTTAAGCCTCTTAATATATAGCGACTACCTCTTCAAACCTTGAATGTTAAGGAGGCTATGACTGACTACAGTGTGCCTCTTTTGAAGGAACAATTATTAGGTCAGGTGACTTGACGTAGCTCTACTTTCGGACACCAATAATATGTCACCACGTGCTCTTACTCTTTACAACGCTGCCCGACGACCTGACCCTGGATTGCTATGTTCGCGTATTGCTCGGTATTGCTCTAGGTATTGCTCGGTATTGCTCGGTATTACTCAGTATTGCTAGGTATTGCTTGGCAATAATGAGAAATACCGCTCTGTCAAGACTAATACCGAGAAAAAGTCGATATTGCTCGATATTTCTCGGTATTGGTCTTCACAGAATGGCATTTCTCGTTATTGCCGAGCAAAATCGACCAATACCTAGCAATACCGAGTAATACCTAGCAAATACGCAAACATAGCAATCCCGGCTCCGTTCCGGGTCGGGTTATCGGGCCGCGCGATAAATAGTGAGAACACGTGGCACTAATTTACTCGCGTCCGAATGTAGAGCTACATTAGGTGACCGGACCAAATAAAAGTTCCTTTTGAAGAGGACCATTGATGTATTTTCATGTAATTAGGATTCATATAAACGAATTAATGCATAGTTCACTTAGAGCTATATAAAATGCTTATTTAATAATAATTTAATTAATTATTTGATGAATCATTATATATTATTACATTAATTTTTTTTATAAACCATATACTTTAAATTTTGTTTATTTTTCAAAAAAGCATATGCATGATGTAAATATTAAATAAATATTTAATATACATAAATCATTTTCATAAATATTCAAATTACGTATAATATAAATAATACTTAATAAATTATATACTTAATACATATACATGTAAATTATTAATATTAAATATATATTTAATTATGCTAAATTAAAACTACAAACATAAGATATAATGATCAACTAAGGTTTCATTTGGGACGGCTTTCTTACTGCTTTTTAAAGCGATTTTTTAGTTAAAAATTTAAAATTTTGTACTAAAAAGCTGTTTTAAGAAGCACGAAGAAAATCATCCCAAATGAAGCCTAAGAAACCTTTAGAAACCAAAAGAAAAAATCATCTCTCCATTCTTACTTGAAGAACCCCATTAAAGATCTATTTGTAACCGCTTCCTTTTTTTTCTTTGCTTTTCAAACAGTAATCATAATTTTATTTAACTACTACTTTCTTATTGGTATTCAGAAAATTTTGCAATGAAAAAATTACCGTGTAATCATAATAGCTAAATTATCTTCACCACATCAACTTCACAATCAGCATCATAAAACACTACAGCCATCCCAAACAGACCCTAACTCTCTCTTGACGTTCAGTGTCCAGTAAAAAAGCCCTTATGAACTGCGTTATCATTTCAACAAACCATCAAAGAGTATCAAATGCATCAAAGAGTATTAAAGGACTTTCTTGATCCCAGATATCATTAAAACCTTCAGTAAATATAGGTTTCAGCATACTTAACGGACTGATATAAATAGTTAACAACAAACTTGCTGGAATGTTTTAAATAAAGTCCATCAAAAGACATAAGAATGATGGCCAGTTGAATAGCAGGTGGGACAAAAATCAAATTACAATTTTTACCCAGCTGCATCAAATTGAACTATGGGTATGTATCTTGCAACCCCAAGGCAAATTATTATGTCCGGACACCAGTCAGAGAGAATCATTCGGATTTCTCTCTGTCTACAGTAAAAGTGCAGTCAAAGCACAACTGCTACAGTACTGCGCTTTGCCTGCACTTTGACTGTGCTTTTACTATAGATAGAGAGAAATCCGGATGATTTCTCTCTGTCTGGTGTCCGAACTTAATAATTTCTCCAATCCCACACATATCAGTGGATAGGCTTTACCCCATTAATTGGAGGGTACTGAGCTCGGCTGGTTTTCACATAAGTAATATATTCTGTGTAATGCATAGTACATAAGGTGCTTTGGTACTTGGTGATACGAAGTCTCTTGCGAAGGGACTCGGTGATTACATTATTATAGCCTGCTTTCCTCATTAGAGAGTCGATGGCTTCAATCTTGGTCCAACCTGTAAGTAGGGAGCAATATGTTCATTAGATGCAGTTAAACTAACTATAAACTGGTTTGGTGATTTGCTTCTTCTAACACAGTTCATACTAACGCAAATCATGAAAAAGGATGTCTGAATTCATAATGTAGATGTTTTGGTTATGCATCAAGAAAGCAAAATTAGCACCCTAACGAATCTAAGGTTCCATTTGGGACAGTTTTTTTATTGCTGCTTAAAGAAATTTTCTAGTAAAAAATAAAAATTTTTATACTAAAAAGCTACTTTAAGAAACATTAAGAAAGCAGTCTCAAACGAATCCTAAATATTGAGATAAATGATTCATTAGTTTTATGAATAAGAATACTCAAATCAAATGAATACTTCAACGGCTAGAATAATTTTGATTGCTTTGATTTCAAAGATAGTAAATAGTGGTACTGTCAGTGAGGAGTGTTAAAAGCTATCCATTTTATAATTAATTTTGATTCAATTAGCTTTTCAAAGTCAATGAGGATCATTATTTGCAAAAATTTTGAAAAACAAGTAAACTTACCTTCATGGGCAGCCACCTCAGGCAAGTAAGTTGCACTGCGCCTTGTATTATAATCAGGGTCAGTGAATTCAATAATCAAGCCATGCTTTCCAATCTGCAAGATAAATACTTGGTTTCCAATAGTCACTACATTTTAGCTTTCCATGATCACTAAAAGCAAATAATTAGCTAGGTGATAACAATGCTGGGACTAAAATAAGAAATTGCATCAATGCCACATCCTGTGAAATAGAATATTTAACAAAAAAGCCTGTCCAAAAATTCCTGTTTGTTATGAAAAACGGAAAAATCTTCAGAAAATCAACTTTCCACATCAGTGCATGTTACTGGTTCAAATTCATAAAGTCCAGTCACCAAATTTATTTTTTTAATCAGTGTTCCTACACTTCTGATAACATTGACTGTCAAACCATCACCAAACATTTGGTTTGGCTATCAATCGTAAGAATCAGATCATGGATTCAGTGGCGGAACCAGTCATAATTGTCAAGGGGGGCAAATTTATAAGTAACTGTTGACAGATATGTCGGGGGTCCAAAGGAGCACTATCAATAATCCAGAGGTCTCCAGACGAATCCGAACGCCGCACGTAATAATTTTTGTGGGTCTCCAGACGAATCCGGACGCCGCACGTAATAATTTTTCCTCTTATTGACGCAGATGAAAGATGCAATAATATATATAGTAGTTCGTAGTTTGCATCAAGGTAAATTGTTGCCCCATGATCTTCTAACAGATTACTAAAAGGAAGAGAGAAGAGCATACCTCCCAATCAAGGTAGTTCAGAGCAGTTTCATATTCAGTAAGAATAGACACTGTGCATTCCAAATACGGCAATTCTTTGGCTTGGACTGGAGGGAAGCGTCGATCTCTCAGAGCACTACAGGAAGGAATATGAAATAAATTAGCTAGGTACCAGACTACCAGGTCACCACAAACAAAATCCATTTCAATTCCAAAAATCTCAAGTAAAACTTCCTAACAGATCAAACAACGTTAGGAATTAGAGAAACCAAGATATTTAAAGAGTAATGGCGATACTAATGAAATTGATTGTCAAATCAACATATAGTAATTAGCAACTGATATGAAGTCATCGATACAATCTTGAAAGAGTACAACAATGGGTGTAAAACAAAAAAATTTAAGAATACATGATTTAGCAATGTTGGTGAAGAAACGAATGCTCAATCCATGGCAACATTCTAGGCATGTACATCAACATTATATTAAACTAAGGCTTCGTTTGGGACGACTTTTTTGTTGCTTCTTAAAGCAGCTTTTTAGTACAAAAATTAAAAATTTTATACTAGAAAGTGCTTTAAAAAGCAACAAGAAAATCATCCCAAACGAAGCCTAAGTCTCTAAAACAATTAAATAATAGTTCGTCTTTACGAAAATTCATCTTAACATGCACAATTTGTATTTCTGGCAACTGCACATTTGACATATGCATCAATTTTATTTGTCTTGGAAAAGTTTAGCTTCTTCGAACAATAGATTTAAGCATAATTATTGTACTTTCTGTTAGAAAATCCACGAGTAATCACCTATAGGCCTGTCCAACCAATGCACAAGATAACTTTGATATACACGATTAGTAATAAAAACAATTTCATCATTCATTATTGCTTATGGCACAAGATTTATGTAACTATTTGAAAAAAAAAAAATTGATGTGAATTACGTAGGAGAGGATGGGAAGAGAGAAAAATCTAAGATATTAGTAGATGGTTCATAATATAAATAAGAATATTAAAGACTGAACTAATATGAGAATTTTTAATGTTCTAACTTGCAAGCTTTACCCCAATTTGTTATACGACTTGATCTAATCTCATTTTTCTAGCAAATGATTATAATATCTAAAAGAATCAGAGTTAAAAGTAAGTTTCCTGTGAATATTCTCATGCAAAATAAGCATATGAACAATGGATGATTATATATAATATGATGCATGTAATGATAATGCTAAGATGATAACATGCTTCCACGATATAACTAATACTAAGATGAGGGGATGATGAATAAAATTTAATTTAATATTTATTATGGTTTATTAAGCCTTGTCCTAATAACAAACAAACAACAAATAAGAAGGGAAAGTATATTATATGGACAGTCAAACCTCTTTAAAGAAAACTAATGCAAATTGCTTAAATAAATTGTGTAAATTATACACTTTTGAGTTTTGGAGTAAAATCTTATCTTTCTCAATCTTATAATATTATTTTATTCTACTTGATTTAAAGTTATCTAGCAATCATTAGTATTAAGATTGTATTAAACTTTGTAATAGCTAGTGATAGCCTTAGGCATCACCAAAATATGGTTCACTTTAGAATACAATATCTAGGAGAGTTTGCTAAGCGTAGGTTTGGAAGAGATGTTCTTACCCACAACTAAGGTGAGGGTACTCTTCCCCTTTAAGGAAGAGATTATGAGGATTTCTCCACATGTGAGAAGTGAAGAAAGAGATTGTGAGCGAATTGAAACCCTGCATATAAGGAGTACTTTAGGGTTGGACGTAAGCCATCGGGTAGGCAAAAACACAAAAATTCAGTTTATTTTTTAAATCCAGCAATAAATAATTGATACCTAGTTTTTATATTTTTAGTATTAAAGATAGATTTTTCATCTTATATCAAGCAAATTACTTTTCAATTGATTTATTATTTAGATACAAATTCTCTTGTTAGAATCTTATATTTAGAGAGAAAATATCATTAGCAACTACACCAAACTAGAATTCACGGTGAGAATGTATATCACAACTAATGCGAGGCAAATATATTTATTTAAGAGGAGAATTTATATTTTATTTATGCATCTAAGAGGAAAAGTTTATTTTTATTCATTCACAGCAATATCAGTTTATATCATTAAATAGAGAGAGATTATTGACTACGTGATCTCATGTCACTCATGTTTTACTCGTTAAAGATTTGATGATAATAAATCTCTTGATGAAATCATAAAATAGTTTGTTAAGAGTTTCTACTGTTTATACAAATATATTTAAACCATGGGGATGATGACATATTCTATTAGGCACTTTTAAGGCTTTACAAGCTTGAAGATGAGCGTTAATGGTGAATCTAAATTTTTTAAGAAAGATAAAGTAAAAGAGTTCAAGAAATACCTTAATCTGCGTGTGTTTTAATAATTCGTTTCACGACTAACTTTTTGCTTAGCCTACAAATATCTCAAGGATAAATAACACATTAATCAAAATATAACAAAGCTATTTTAATTAAATAATCATTTGTTAAATTATTATAAAATATTAAAGCTTAAATAGAATTAATTCATATGTATAAGTTATGTTGCTAAACTCCATTGGCTGAACAATATTTTTCACTGGTCGTTTTGGCACTTTATGGGCCTCTGTTAACATTAATAATTTTTTGCAAAGTTAGCAAGTCTCTTAACCATGGAGCTTGCTCCCCTAAATGACAGAAATTTTGGTCATGAATCAATTTACTAGCAAGTTGACATCATAGCTTCCCTGAAAGTCATTACAGGCCACCAATAACTCCTAACAAATGCTAGTAAATCTATTTTTGGCAAGCAACTGCTACTTGAACATAATTGTTCAGTAATTAATTATAGTCAAATATGATCACTCGAGTATAATTTTTGGGCTGCTTATTGAATCTTAAACTACTTTATATATACCAATTTACTTCTACTTTAATATATTGATAATGTCACACAAATTTTCTTATACAAAAGTGAAAGTATTTTCAGCCTTAAAGATATATCTTTTCAGGAAAAAGCAAACGAGTGTTCATCCTCTCAATCCATAGAGTTCAAATTTTAGAGTAAAATCTCCCTCGATCTTATAATATTATTTTGTTGCCTTTGCTTTGTTGTTCTTTTATAATCCTCTGTGTTAAAACTAAATTCAGCTTTTTAATAGTTGGGTATAGTTTAGTCACCTCCAAAGTGTTGGATCACTTTCAAAGAAGTTATCCTACAGAGTTTACTAAGCAAAGGCACAGAGGTACTACCCTTCCCCATATCTAATAAAAGGGTATGCTTTCCCTTAAAGGAAGAGGTGAACGGTTCTCGCTCAAAATTGGGCGAGAACGGTTTACCTCAAAAATGAACTTGATAGAATACACTTCATTCACTTTAATTTATCTTGGATTTGCTTTTCATCCAACCAAACACCAAACTTCTCAAATCTCCTACATTTTTTTTACTTTACACTCACTTTACTTCCAACCAAATAATTCCTATATATATATATATATATATATATATATATGCATTGGAGATTGTGCTAAAATGTATTCATGAACATAAATAGAAAACTAATCCATAGTGAAAATTTGAAATTGAAATTCAATTTGAGCATGAGATCATTTTTTAACTTAAATCTTAATTAAAATCTTGAGTTCACAAGCAATCCTAGCAATAATTGGTTCAAAACGGCAAGAAGAAACAAGAAACTTGGACAAAGCAATCTAGAAATGATAGATTGCGATAGTGGAAACAAAACAAAGTAAAACTCAAAGCAAGATACAATTGATCCTCAATTCGAGAGGAGGATCGTCTCTCCCAATATGTAGATTGTAGATCTAGACCACAAGACACCAAGGAACTCTCCAAAAGAACAAACAATACAAGCATGCCCTAACCCTAGCCTCTCATCCTCTTTAAATACATCCTTCCTAATTAAAAGCTTCCTAATATAATTTTATTTCAAATTGCTCTCTTGCATGAACCGCCCCCTCCTCTCTCTCTATTTGTCGCACAAGGAGGTGGGACCCACCCACTTAAGCAATGGGTTTAAGAGGAGGTAGCTTAGTCCGCCTCCTGTATGTCCGAATCGGCCCCTCCTGGGCCGGTTTAGGCTGATTTGTAACAATACCCTCTTCCCAAAGAACCACCCTGTCCTCAAGGTGGAAATTAGGAAACTGATGTTTCACCCTCTCAAAGGTTCCCACATGGCATCGTATTCCGGAAGGTTTTTCCACTTGATTAGCACTTCTTTAGCTCCGTTTCCTTTATGGCGAACCCCCATCAACTCTAAAGGTTCCAGAATCACCTTTAAATCCTCCGCGAGTGTCACCGGTAACTCTGGGCTAGCTGTCTAATCTCCAATGACTCTTCTCAGCTGGGATACATGAAAAACTGGATGTATAGTCTCCATTGGTGGTAATTTCAGGCGGTATGCTACCGCTCCTATTTTCTCCAATACCTCGTAAGGTTCAAAGTACCTATAGGCCAGCTTCTCATTCCTCCTATTGGCGACTGTCTTTTGCCTATATGGTCGGAGCTTCAAGAACACTCTCTTCCCCACTTCAAATTGGATGTCCTTCCTATATCCATCAGCTTGTTTCTTCATAATTTGTTGAGCTCTCAGTAAATGTATCTTCAACTCTTCTAGCACTCAATCCCTCTCCTCCAAGTACTCCACTGAAGAAACAGGAGTACTGCTACTCCCAAAGTGCACCAAGTGGTGAGGATCTCGTTCGTACAACACCTTGAATGGGGTCATCTATGATGCCGAATGAAAAGAGGTGTTGTACCAATATTCAGCCTATGATAGCCACTTAGCCTATAGCTTGGGTGTCTCTAACACAAAGCATCTAAGGTAAGTCACCAAGCTTCTGTTGACTACTTCCATTTGGTCATCCGTCTGTGGGTGGTAAGATGTGCTCCTCTTCAGAACTGTTCTTTGTAATCTGAACAACTCCCTCCAAAAGTGGTTAAGGAACACATTATTTCTATCTGATACTATCGCCTCAGGTACTCCACGTAATATGACCACATCTCTGATGAAAGTTGAAGCCACTGTCACTGTTGTGTATGGGATATCAGAGAGATGAAATGTGCATACTTGCTCAACCTGTCCGCCACCACTAAAAT